TGTTGAGGATTTACACATTGTGTCATGTATGTTATGTAAATGGGAACAGCAGAGATTCAGTATTTATTATTAGAACAAGACATTTTTCATTCTGCAAGTGGAAATCCAGGCTGTAATTTACATGCATCTCTGAATCAACAAGTACAATACCTAAGAACAACACTTTGTATAAAAAAATAACTGACTTTGCCTTCTCATGAAAATTCTTTGCCCGCATTCCCTGGGGAACTGCATGGGAATTACAAACACACTGCTCTCAGGAGACCTAAAATGGTCCATTTTCTACCCTAGACCTGAGGAAAAAGTAATGGGGTCCCACAGCCTGCTAGCAGGAAACAGTCCCAGCCAAATGAAAAACGCTGCTGATGAGGTACTCTTTCTCCCAGATTTCATACCTACCCTATTTCAAGATTTCAGACCCCAATGTCCTGTTCAGAGAAGCTCTCAGCCCTGAAACATCATTGGGAAAGATCTCCTTACCCTCTAAGGAGAAAAAGTCATTATCAAGCTGTATGGAAATGGAAGCAGGAGTAGGATGACTCGCATATCTCTTGATGTAGTGTTCATCAGTGTAACATCATACTCCCAGCTGGCTGCCCAGATTACCTTACTCAGGGGCGTGCCTCCGCAGGCCTTTCCCATTAGGACTTGCAGGCCTGCTAAACTGGGGCTGCTGTGATGGAAGCTGTGCTCTAGACAAGGCACCTGTAGCTGCCCGCATTTTTTGTTCTGTCACCCAGCTTGCTCAGAGAAAACCTCTCACAAACCGTGCTGTGATGGAGATTTCAGAGCAAGAGGTGACATTTTTTTCAGTAGCCTCCAAGTCCCCTGCCCTTGAGCTATGCTGAAGCTTGAGTAGTGTCAAAACACTACATAGGGATGTCTATGTAGTCACTGTTTCACTAAACAGAGGTCAGGATTTGTCCCCTGCCGGTACAAATCACAGAATCATTTGGTGTCCTGAGTTGGTTGCTAGTTCCAATCCTCCTGATGTGGGCAGGACCACACCATCCACTAAAACAGGTTGCTCAAAGCCCCATCCAGTTCCTCCTTGAATGCTTCCAGGAAGGGGGTATCTACCACTTCTTTGGGCCACCCGTTCCAGAGCCTTACTACCCCCAGACTAAAAGATTTCTTCCTAATATCTAATTTAAATCTATCTGCTTTCAGTTTATAGCCATTTCCCCTTTTCATGTGACTATACACCCTTGCAAAAACCTTTCTTCAGCTCTTTTTCTGTTGGTCTCCTTTAGGTTACTGGAAGGTGCTATAAGGTCTCTCCAGAGCATTCTCTTCTCCAGGTTGAACAACTTTAATGCAGAAACCTTTGATTTTGTCATTTATCTAAATACAATTTTCCAGTCATTCTGCTGTAAGCACTGGAGGCACTAAACATGGAAGCCCAGAACAAAACTCAAATTCTAGACAGCCAATTGATTTTACAGAAGGCTTAAACTACTGTGGGCAAAGCAGCAATAAAGTGAACAGACGAGCTCTGCCGCTGGGAGAATTTGCTGTTTCTTGCCATTTCTACCCCTGTCTCAGCTCAGCAGTAGGAGGCAGGGGCAAATTAGCACTACTCTTGCTCTTATCTTCCACACCTTTTGCCTGCTGCTCTGCAAAAAACTCCTTCAGCTGGTGACAAAAGAGGTCAGAAATATGCATGCAGTGTGATGGAGGAGCAGAGCAGCACACGGAGCAGGTAGTGGCTCCACAGAGCAGAGGTGTGCAGAAGCAGCGAGCTACTCTCTGCTCAGCAGGACCCTCCCTGCCACCACTGAGCCCCAGCAGCTGCAGCCACTGCCTCCCCTCTTCTGTCCTGCCAGGGCACTGGCCCCACCATGAGCAGCCTGTGTTGTGAGGTCAGGCCCAGCCGCTGCATCGCATCACACCTGCAGTGTTCGCTGCGGCCCTCAGCCACCAGCATGCTGAACACGGAGCTCCAGGCAGGGAAGCTCCCTGTGTCTCTGGATACATTTCCAGGGACAGCTGCTACTTCAGGCAAAGCCAGGTACTCTGTTAGTGCCCATTGCAGCAGTACTCTGCTGTGGGGAAAGGCAGTAATAAAATAATTCTGCTGTATCATTAGAGGTCAACTTGGACTACAGCAAGTAATAAAAGATTCATAATGGCACATGAGGGGATGCACTAAATAGCCAAACCACAGCTTGAAAACATGCAAAGCTTGTTTAGATTTAGGACTTGGTTAAAAACTTGCAGTTCAGCTGGTGCTTCACCAGAAAAGTTTGCAATCAGCGATATCACTTCTGTACCAGCAATTTATGCTGCTTCTAGTATAAATTATGCCTTGCAGCAAGGAGTGTCCTAATAGGCATAGGTGCTCCCATGTTCAGGCCAGTAATCAAAAATTAATCCCCTTTCCTGATTCTGTTAGGGGCCAGTGCCAGCTATTACTGAGAAGACATAAGAAATACTGCTGGAAGCACTTTCAAGATAACACTTTTCCAGTGTTGTGACTTTCAATCCTTTGGTATTTAACAACTGCTAAATCTTAATTTTTAGTGAATTTCCAATCCTGTAAGGCAGGCAGTGGGACATGAGGTGTTTTTAAATATTCCTTTCAAACTTTGGTTAATCTTATCTTCTGTCTACATATCAAATCTGCTTTAGGAATCCTGCTGAAGTCCAGTCTCAAGGTGCTGTGACAGTGAGTTGCTCAGCCCATTTATGTGTGAAAAATCATTACTTACTACTAAAAGAGTTTCAGAAATTTAGTACAGGTATTGGCACAGTATTTTTCAGTTTGGTTATAAAAGCACTGTCCCTTCTCCCTTTAACTCCAGCTTGTCACTCTACAAAGAACAAAAACAACACAGACAAATCTCTAGCTGCTGAATTCCATCTGCTTTTCCATCCTTTCAACAGCCCTTGACAAAGAATTTAAATCAGATTCCTTTTCTCTCGTGAGCTTAAAATTTGGCTGTAAAGTTTGGCCACATCCTCAGACTAGACTTGATTTTTGGCCATCATTTTTACCAGTAAGGCACATCTAATCTCAGACTTGGTGACACTGCACTCAAACCAGCTGCTCTAGCTTTGATGCAGAAGAGGCCAATACCATTAGCATGAAGAAGTTAATGACATTTGACGTATCAGATGACTCGGTCTTGCCTTTAATCTTTGGGGCCAGCTCAGTCCCACCCGGAAAATAATGGCCTCAGGAGAGAGGCCAAAGACTGCAGAGGAGAGAAAACTTCCAGCACATCTCTGGAGGTGAGGTTTAGGGCATGTGACCGGAGCAGCACAAGGTGCAGAGCAGGTGTGAATGGCACACTCCAAGTGGCATTGCTGTGACATAAAGAGCTATGCTCTTCATGTGGAAAAGAAGGCATCCTCTCCCAATTCAAGTCTAAGCAAGACAACACTCCTCCAGCGCTCCCAAACCACTCCCCTCGCAGCACCTGCAAACAGCCGATCCAGCCTGGCCAGAGACGGACAAAGCCACACTCAGAGCACCACGAGGCAGCGGAACCCCAGAGCTGTCACAGGCAGCAGGGCTGGTCCGTCCACATGTGCCACTGCAGGGACTTGGCTCAGTGTGTACAGTCTCTTGCACTTCGCTGTACAGCCCACCATCTGGCTGGTAATTAGGAAAACAACCCTTTTCTTCCAACTGCAGTGAAACTCTGCCCCTCTTCTTTACAAAAGGCCCTATGGAGTCTCGATGCCTGACATGCTTCCAGTTCAAGTGGGAAGGAAAAATTACTGATTTCCATCTTCTATCCTTTTGTACCTCAGGGACCAGGAGGCTGCAAACAAAGCAAGAACTGCTTCTGGGGATTGAAAATCCCTGAAGCTGGTTTTTACCACCCCTTTGATCATTCCTGGCTTTCCCACACAAAGAACTTTTCCATGTATGTGGTACCTGCAACTAACACGGTCACAGAGATTCCAGAGCATGAATGGAAATGCCAAAACAACACTACTGCCCACACAGAGAAACAAAAGCTGGGAAGAACTAGGAAGCATCTTTTTTTTTTACTTTACTGGGTTACCTGTCTTAGGGAAAAGAAGAAAACTGCCGTTCCTAATGGCTCCTGCCAGATATTTCCACAACCTATCAAATCCCATGGCTCAAATAGTGAACAAATTTCTTGCTCTTCTGTAAATCCCTGCCTCATTTCATCTGGTTACCTATTGGCATTGCAAACCGCCAAATTTTGTCAACAAAATACAACGGCACTGTTGCCTACATAAATACATTTAACACTTCTTAACATGCAAAACACGCAAACAAACGATAAACGCAGCTTCTGAGCGTTCACAATGCAGCCAGTGTCCCACTGCCCAGCGCTGGCAGCTGCAGTCGGTCAAATTCAGTAACCAGGTAGTTGCCAGGAGTAAGCACAATTCCTGCACGGGACTTGCTAGTCATTAGTTTTAGATACTGCTTTGCAGCTTGAAGAAATCTAAAAGGAAGAAGTGCGTGCGCCTCTCGTTTAAGCGACAGAAGTAGAGGGCGTGCAGGAGGGAACGGGAAAGCATAGCAGAAGGAGGAGACGGGGTTTTCGCGTCTTTCAGGAGCCCCGAGGGGCTGGTACGGGGCGGGCGGTCACAGCAGCACCACAACAGGACAAGTCGCACTCCCTCCCTGTGTCGGTGGCACTTCGGTGCTGTAGGCAGAGGACGAAGCGGCGCTTCCCCGGCGTGCCCAGCACTGCGGAGGGACCCTCCGGCGACTCGGGCGGCACGCTGCCCGGCTCCTGCAGCCGAGCGCGGCTGCGGCGGGGCGCTGGGGTCAGCCCGCCGGGCTGGGGGCTCGGACGGCAGCAGCACGGACAGCACCTCCGCCTGCGCGTTACCAGGCTGAAGCCGAAATAACACGGGAAAATTAAAGCTACTCCAGCGGGCACGGAGGAGCCGCAGCCCCGCCGGCGGCTGGGCGGCTCCCGCTCGGTTCGGGGCGGCGGGTCCGGTCCCGTTGCCCCCCCCGCGGGGCAGGCGGCGCCGCGGGGCCGGGCTGGGGCGGTACCTGCGCGGTGCCTCCTCCGCCGGAGCTCGGAACCGGGAGCCGGAGCTCGGACCCGCCGGGCCGGGCTGCGCCGCGCCGAGCTTTGAAGGGGCGCGGGCGGTGCGGGAGCCCTGAGGCAGCGCGAGCGAGCCCTGAGGGAGGGGCGCGTGCCTGGCGCCGGCGCGCGCCCCGCAGCGCGGAGTCACCGCAGCCGTCCCGGTGCGCGGCGGCGGCGGCGGCACGGGGCATCGCCCCCGGGAGCAGCGGGCAGGTCACTGCCGCCCAGCCTGGGAACAGTTCCTCCCGCGCATCGGAAATTGCAGGCGGCTTTTCTAAACATTCACACGCGCACAGAACCCCCAAAGAAAACCCCTGATGGCGGTGAGCAGCGCAGATCAGCTAAACGCGATGAAAGAGATGCTTTTCTACGCTCAAAGTTGGTGCATGTGCGGTTTTGGCCTCTGACTGATACACTTTTATTGTTCTGCAATCAACTTTTCAATACTCCGGATCTGATGGTAGGAGCCAGCATTACTTCTACAGAAATGCTAGCAGAGACAGTGAGTGGAACAAGCGGTGGAGATGCTTTTAAAGAGGGAATAAGTCACTGTCTTGCCTAAGGACAATGCGGTTCAGGATGAGAAGCTGTGGCTTGGGAAGCCCGTCAAGGGGAAGAAAACCACAGCAAAACTTCCCCTGGCTTGTTTTTTGTTGTGGTTATGGTAGTTTGTTTTGGTTTTTTTTGTTTTGTGCTTTTCATGGGGAAAAAAATAAAGGTCGATTTCTGGTATATTTCTGTACCTTAAAAGGATGATTACTAGAGAGTTTCAAACAGTTAGTGGCGATACTCTCATGGAGTTATGAACTTTGTATCAAACCTCTGACACTGTTAAACAGCTCTAACTTTCTAGGTATTTATGTAAAATACAGCTATAGCACAGAGCAAATTCAGCAACCAGTAGGCATTCATTTTTGAACCTGAGAACTTTCAGTTAGAAAGTCATCAGCTCACACCATAACTTGAAAAGCTTTTTAGCCTTATACCCTGGATAACTGTGTGATGAGCATCCACACGCTTCACCTTACTGAGTGTGAAGAATCATTGAAAAAGAACCAAAAACAAAGCCTGTAACTTCCCCAAATGCTAACTTAAATTCCCAGAGGAAAAACTTGCAGAACAGATTGATGCTAGGTACAGAGATATTTAAGGCAAGACGCTACAATTATAAAGATACGAGAGGAAAAAAAGCAGCTATGTACTGAGGCTCTAAAATTTAAATAGCTGAAATGCTTTTTACTCCATATTCTGACAGCTGATGATACCTGGCAAGCAATGGCAGTGGTAGTATGATGTGTCAGTCAGCAAAGAATAATGTGTGAAAACCAGAAGTATTTCAAGTGTAGTGCCAATTCGCAGGGTTTTGGTAGCTGTATTTTATTTTCTTTAATTAGGTATTGACATTTTAAATTTCTCCTGAGGCTAAGAAATCATTTTCTGCTAAATAGTTAAATAAGCTGCATAAGAATAGAACCTAAACTTTAACTGGGAACAGCATTTGAGGCCAACGACACCAAAGCAGCTGCTTGAGTATACTGAATTTCATACTAGTATTGACAGAAATAATGTGTATTAAATCATTAAATACAGGTTTCCTTCTTCTTTGAATAAGTAAATAATTTTGCCTTTATAAAAGGGGTTGGTTTGTATATGTACAAGGCTCTCAGGTTGTCTAGGTGTAACATGGTATACAACACAAGGTTAGTAAATGTAAGTTGCACGAGGGTTAGTTCTGTATTCTAATACACATTATTTCCTATGCTCTCAACGGACTTTAAATAATTAACTGGAGTGGACACACAGGCGCTTTTTACTTGGGCTTGATTGGATCCATTCATCTGCTTAAGCTGTTCGGGATACAAACTTGAAACATGTTTCTCTTGGAAAAATCTGTTCCGCAGCTGCCGCTGTGGGGAGGTGACAGCCGGCGCTCCTCGCCTGGCTCGGCTGTTCAGCCAGCTCTCCTCAGGCAGAGGAGTATCTGGTGCTGGCTCTCCTTGCTGCTCGATCCAAGGCACGGGCACTGTGGGAGGTGGTCACTGTTTTATTACCTCCTTCTCGTTCCTGTGGCTTGCCAAAGGGAGGCCCAAGAGCCCACCCCTATGGATCTCAGGGATTTCCCAGCAGGGAGCTCATGCAAGACATCCAGCCGCTGTGGTTTGTGAGGAGGCGAAGGGGGTGGATTTTCACAGTGATGGAAGGAGGCAAAGGAGGAGTGTTTGCTAACATCCCCTAATGAGACCTGAAGTTCTTCCCTGGCACTGATGCTGCCAAGTTGCATTTTATCTATTCTGTAAAGGGGGTGTCTCCTCCATCTGCAGAATTAACAGGCTGCATGAGCTGTGACTTCCCCATCTGGAAAGGGATTCATGTGCTCAGAGCCTCCCCGCTGCTGATTTCAGTCTGGGGGTCAGCTGCGTGCCATTCTCAGACGGCTGTGACATACTCACTTGTGGCCGGAACGACGGGCACTTCGCACACGGAGCAGCGCTCGGAGGGGAAGGCAGAGCAGACGTGGCCTTGCGCCGGTGTCTCCCAGGTGCCTCCTAGTGTTTTCCACAGTGCAGAGGCTGTGGCACATGGGAATGTTCGAGGCCCCAGCGCTGCTGCCCCACACAGCAGACGCCAGGAGCAGTGTGCTCTGGAGGCTTTGCATACATTTGCTGAAGCCGTCCCGGCAGTTTGCCGTTCCCTTGCCCTCACAGCCAGCAAGGATGCTGGTCCCTCTTTGCCGCCTCCATGGCTCCCATCACCAGGGTGTGCGACTAGCAGGGCAGGGCAGGCGGAATCAGGGCATCAGACAGTAGTTATCAGTGGTTTGTTTGATTACCTCTTCCTCAGGTCAAATGCACAGGCATTACAGGGGACAAAAAAACCCATTGCTGTGTGTTTCCCACAGCTAGAGGCTTATCACTAAACATCTGGTACAGCTGTAAACTTCAGAAATGTTACTCTAAACGTTTTTTCTACAAAATAATTCAAATAGATATGTCCTTAGCAATAGGGCACTGAAATGTAAAATGCATATCATAAGTGACTCTGCAGGAACAAACAAAAGCAAGACAAATCATATAGCTCCATCAGAAAAAAACCTGGCAGCACTCAGCACATGATCCTTAATGTGCTTTGGTCAATATCTTTCTCTATATCAATGGAAGCTCATTAAAAGAAGATATTGCAGACTAACTGAGCCATGCCATACTAGTTCTTGCCAAAGCTTGACATTTTTAATACATTAATAATATGTCTGTAATGTAATGGAAAACTATTAATCAGAACTGGTTATATGCCAGAAATTTAAGCTATAATTGGCTGCTTCTTGTCAGGAGTGTCTGTTGTACACGGCTACAGCTGCCTAATGCTCAGATGTCTTGCACTCCTCTGCACTTTTTTCTTGTCAGTGCACTAAATTCAATCGATGTTATAGTCTATAATTCTGTGTAACGACCATCATTATGACTGGCTTACTTTAATGAGAATTCGTTATATGGGAAGTATTTTAGCACAGTGTGTTAAGGTAGTGGCTTGCTTCACATTATTTAGTCCTACCCAGTCCTGTTTATTAGTGGATCTGAGTCTCGGCAGTTATCAAAGGTTACAGGTAACTAAAGAGCTAGAAAGGGAGATGTTAAATAAAAACTTTTTTTTTTGCCTGAATATACAAGCTTGCAGTCTAATGATAATTACACTCAGTAACTTCTACACAGAAAAATTATATTTATTTATTTACTTACTGTTTATTCCAGCTATGACTAAGCCATTTCCAGTAAAGGGTATTTGATTTGCCATAAATTTAAAATAATTTGCGGCCTCTTCTAGAAGGAGTTGTTTCCCATTTTCATAGTGACATAGTTTCCCATAACCCTAAGCTGTGGGCTCTTGCAGGTGCGTTGTTTTCCCCTTCAAAATTGTAAGTACATTGGAAAGGAAACACAGGAGAAGGAGTGTCTTTAGAATGACACGGAAAGTGTTCTCTGAATTACTGAATTCCAAAATAATATGCAAACACTCCCACTGAAAACAAAAAAAAAAAAGAATGTAAGGTTGCTACAAAGCCAACAGTACTACCCAGCATGCGTCTTAAAGAGATTTAAATTTAATTTGGTCTTAGATATTTCTGCTTTTGTGTCAAATTCAGATTTGAAGCTTAAATATGTTTGAACAAATTGAGAATTGTTACTGCAGGAAAATTCAGATATTCTCTGCGTATTCTGATAAAATACATGAGAGTTGTATGGTAACACTTGATAAAATGAATATAATGGAAAATTGCATTTACGTCCATACAGCAATTATTGTAAATTACTTTGCTATGGAAACACAATTCAACCATCTGTTGGCATTTCATGGTGTCTGTAGTTTAGCTCAGTTTAAGATGAAGCATTATTTAAATATAGGGAGGCTGTTTGTGAATAGCTTTGAAGATAAGTTTTGAAAACGAACATTCCCAATGTGACACGTTAAGGAGCTTACCAGGTCACACACCTCTTCCCGTGGCTGTGGGGTGTAGGAGGGTTCATGGCACTGGGCATAATTTAAAGCTGGGAAGCAAAGCAGGCTGCAGAAAGTGGCAACTTACGCTTGTTTCTCAACATCTGTCCGGTGGGTCTGGCTAGATTTTAGCATCCAGACAAAGAAAGTGGGGAAGTGCTGCAGCGCCTGGCTGAGATCTCCTGCTGGCAGCCCAGCGCCCTGGCTCTCCAACCTCGGGTGGCACAGGCTGACACATATGGACTGGAATTCCTGGTTTTCCTTGTCCCTGTTTAGGGTACTTACTCTGTCTTTGCAGTTTTCCTCATACAGAATTTGGAAATTTTTTTCCTGTGTTATTCAGGAAATACATATTTGAAGTTGCTGTGATATGATTCTAGCATTTTATACCTGTAATAATATAATTCAGGTGCTACAAAGTAAGGGGATTTCTGGTTGTTTTCTGAAAAGGTGAAAGGGCATATATCTGCTGTGAAATAAGTGCTGAGTACTCCGGTACAGCCACCCTCAAACCTAAGAAAATAAGGGGGGAAAGCATTCTTATAGTAAGCTACAAAATAAGCCATTATCTTTATTAGTAGTTTGTCATCAGTGTGGTCAGTAAATCACAGTTCAAATGTAAAAAAAAACAAAACAATGGAGCAAAGCTCTTGCAATGCTAATGAGAAACATGAAGGAAATTGAATTGTACTTGCTATATATTTGTTATTCTTAAAATAATAATAATAATAATCTAAAAGAAATATGTAAGGCTTTTGGAGCTCCATGAGGTCCTCTTGCCAAGAAACTACGAGCACCTGCTAGCCCTGATGCCCATGTCTGTGTCACTTGAATAAAAGAACCTTGCTGCTGCTGCCCTGCAGTGCTGGGCTGCCTGCTCCCCTGCCTGCCTGCACCATCTGGGCCATGGCTGAATGCAGTAGTTTGCTCTTCAGTTTTGCTAGGGTGAAAATACAGTTTTGGAAACAGGAAGCTCTAACTCACCTGGAACATTATAAATCTGTCTTTGTTAGAGTACAGTTAAATCCTTCATGTCAAAATACTTTTCACTGTGAATGATTTTGGTAGTTTTTTCATTCTAGCACAGAACCCACAGTAAAGGTTATCCATATTGTACCAATTTGCTTTATATTGCATCAAATCTCCAAAATGTCAACATATCGTATATTTTGTAATGCATTGATTCTTGGACAATAACTCTTAATTTTTATTGTTTCTAAAAGGGTGCTGATGCCAGAAGAAAAGGATGATTGATGGGAAACAGACACCAGCCTACAGACACTCACCCTCTTCCTTCGGATACTGATTTATCAGTGTGTCCAGGCATCCCCTGCGAGCCCTGAACACGGAGGATCACTCAGGGTTATCGACAGTGTAGCTGAAGACCTGCAACTTCACAAATTATTATCTGCTCTTGGACATCTTTTACAAGAAGCCCTGACAGATAAGTTATAAGGCAAAGGACAAGCGCTGCATGGCTGTGAAAGGCTGTCATCAGGGCCTGGGTGGCTTCTACCAAAGTCTTTAACAAACATCCCATCCTAATGCTTCATGTTTGAGTTGGAACCTATTTTATAAATATATAAATTAGATGTACATATAATCTCTAGACTGCACATACGCCAGCACTGAGCATCGTTACGAAGCTGACATAAAAGGATTTAGAAATGTATTTGTCAAGATTCCTGTCACTTCACACCCTCTGGGTTACTGTATCCTCCGTGATGCAGCACTACCCTTCTGTGTGGGGACACTATGACGTGTGTAAGACTCAGATTTACACCGAAGAAGGAAAAGTATGGGATTACATGGCCTGCCAGCCAGAAGCCAGAGACATGATCAAATATGTAAAAGTGACTCTGGATCCCCCCGACATAACATGTGGAGATCCTCCTGAGACTTTCTGTGCAATGGTAAGGCAAGCTTTTCATTTTGCATAATTAGTGGGGATATATTTGTGATATATGGCTTCAAAATAGAAGCCCTAGAGTGCACACAAAATTATCCAAGAAAACCTGCATCATATTCCAAATGTGAAAGGTTCTGCTGTACAAAACTCTGAGCAGTACATTAAGCTGAGCAATGAGATGTTCTGTTTCTGAGGACTTGACTTTATCTGAATTCCATGTCTCTCTACAGCAACTTTTAATGTATCTAAAGAAACCAGCATGAAACTCTTATTGTGCTAACCCATAACTGGGATGGCCTTTGCCTGATCAAGAAAGATTTGCATGAACTGATTCCACTAAAATCAGTTTAAAGCATCATAGCATGGCATAATTAAGTATACTTTCCAAACAGTGAGACCAGTTAAACTCTAATTGCTAAAGCTTAAAAAATGGTGTTGGGAGTTGGGCTGTTGAAGGTTTCCCAGCTACCCAAGGAGCTGCAGCAGGTATGTATGGACAGTGCAGCTAAAATCACCTCCAAGCTCTAGCAACTACTCAGAGCTTTCTTCCTAGCTGAAACTGTAGGCATGCAAGCAAACTAAGAGACCAGAGCTCCTCATTTTACATGGTCCTAAAATAGACTGGGTTTGGAAATATTTGGCTTGGTAAGTAAATGCACAGGTATAAGAATCTGACACTATATATGTATATACACACATATGTATGTATATCAATATTTTACAGCTGTGCTGCTCCTGAGTGTTTGATAGATGACACTGTGAGAGGTTGTTTCAGTTAAAGGAGATCTTTAACTTGTAGAGAACTTCTTTGTCCTCACACACACAGAGACTCTCTTTTCTTTGTGATTGGACATTTCTGTTAAATAGTGAGTGGAAGATACTGAGTTCCTTGAAAAGAAAATAAGAGTATGGTGTACAAAACATGCACACTTAAATCTCTTAATACAGCACTGGAAACATACACCACATTACCTACATTATTTAGGTTTGAAAGACCAATGAGTTCTGGTAAGTGAGGTTATCACAACTGAGAAAAGCCTACAAGATATTTATTTGCCTGTGTACAAATCATCATTGCTGGGTGACAGCATCCCCACAGGAAGGAAATTTGCTTTTAAATGCCTTGTGGCATCATTTTCCACCACTGCTGTTCTGTAAGGAGTTCAGATCCAACCACACATACATTTAAGGCATTATTTGCACGCACGCAGCTGCTTCCCACGTACATTATGGTAATAGCCACGTGATAAATTGTTGAGCTACATGAATAAATTACATTCAGTATGAACCTTTGACTGCACCACTTGCTCTCTGCCCACTAATCCATCTCTGCTGACATGTCTTTGACACTCTAAATCTCCAAGCAGCTTCAAGCAGCCACTGTTTAAAAACAAATAGAAATCATGTGCCCCACATAACATTGTCTTGCTGGTTTTTCTCCTTAATCTTGAAATACATTTTTTCCCTCTGAATAGTTATAGCTGTGATTTAGCACTCAATAATATTTAGTAACTCATCATGTAATGCAAAAAGTTGTTCTTTTAATGAGAAAACAAAACAAACAAACCTGCCCAATAAAATTTGTTTCTTCCTTTTAGTGCAGATAAACATTGCAGCAGTTCCTATCTTAAGTAATACTGTAAGTTTCTCAAGGCCTTTGTTATCAGTATGCACTCTACTTAGAACAACAATTTTAAAGGAAAAACAACCAGGCAAACAAAAGACATTTTGATTAAATTTAAGTGTTAAAAATGGTGCCAGAGCTCCCCTTGAAAACATTTGACCAGACCAGGTCATCAGAGCTGTGATGTGGGAGCAAAGTTTGCTTGGGAGTGACCTGAGATTACAGCTGTAGCTCATTTGCAGCTTAAGCCTGTGAGATGCAGAAGGCCACCAGAATCCTCACATGAGGAGCAGAGAAAGGGGAGTAACTGGGGAAGAACGAGAGAGCACACACAGAATGAGAGTGTGCATTCAGCTACACAAGTGCAGAGTGACTCTTACACGATAAACTGTGGGATTTGTTTCCAGGATAGATGTAGATTGTACATATACACTATATTTAGGTATGCATTGGTAATGGCTGGGTTTGCTTGAAACATAAGGAAAATGACAGAAATATTTAATGGGTACTGCCCATGGCTCACAGCAGAGCGTTCTCATCCCTAAAAATGCTTCATTGTCTATCTGTACTATAGCTACCTGTAGGAATTAGATATTTCCTTCAAATAAGGTTTTATATATTTTGTAGGGCTGAGCCCTTGGCATTTTTGAGACCTTGAATTTTTGTGTTCACTTTTGGTTTTAGAAAATGAGTTAAGATAGCACTGACATACTTGGAGAAAGTGGGCAGCAGAAAAAAGTTCTTTCGTGTTAGGCATGTTCTGGTGCTAAAAAATCCCAAATTTGAAGTGACAAAGATGCAAAGGTTTCTTTTCAGCACAGTGAAGTGCCAAACTGGCTTATACAAATGCTTGGCTTTCTTTTTGTAAGTACTGGCTATGTGCCTGCCAAACCTGTACCACTGTTTTGTTATTGAAATCAGGTTAACACTGACTTGGAGAAGAACAGGGTCTTTTCAGGTATTTTAATAATAAGCAAGGGTACCAAGCAGCCAAGTCTGCTTCTGCAGGATGACAAGGAGGTTGAAGCAGCCTCCTGTTTTATTTGCTTGTCAGTTTCCTGATCACTTTACTAATTTTCTCTTCACCAAATGGACTAAGGTACTAGCTGTGTAATATAGATTAGATCCTTGAAACAAACCAGACTGAGAATTTCATTCAAGTCCTGCTGAGAGATTATGGTAGAATCTAAGGCAGTCTGTGAGAGTAGCTGATCATAATCTGCAATAACACACAATGCAGCTGTGCATTGCAATGTGTGCAAGCATACAATACAGAAGAGATGGGTGGTTAAATTGGCCCCTTACTTATTTCTGCATATTCCTCATGGCATTAAATGTTCTTATGAGTCTGTGATGAATTTGTACTTTCCTTGTTTAGTTGACAGACTGAATAACAGGGCTTTGCATATGTAAATTTGTTGCAAAATATAACAGCCCTAGCTGACAGCTAAAGCCAGCATTTGGCAGCTCACCACTTGCAGGTAGCTTTGTGGTGTCCCCCCAGAACAGCATTTGTAGGTATTATGGGGAGCATATAACAGAAAAACTATCCCACCGTTGCTTTTAGGCATCTATTCCGAGAATAATATTATCGTTTCTGGTGACATTCAGTATTGACAGCTCATGAGATTATTCTGAAACCTCAAACCCCTGGAGTCCTACAATTATGATTATGAGATTCTCAGGTTTCATTTAAAACATCATGTTTATTTCCTTAGTCCTTCTGGTTGCAGGGAAAAGTTTGAAAATGAAACCAAGGAGCTCAAAAAGCAGAAGCCAAAAAAATAATCTTCCAAATTATTGTTTGTTTAAAATCTCATCAGATTTAAAGTCATTCGGGTTTTCTACAACTTGGAAAGGATTTTTGCTCAACAGGAGAGAGGCATAAAAGAAACTTATAAACAAATAAGTGGCTAAGAGCAGTTGAACACTTAAAATTTCTAGATGTGGAATTGCATGTATCTGTAAGAAGGATGTGACAACATCATTCCAGCATAAGTAGGGCTCCTCCTGCCTACAGGATAACCAGCACTGTGGGGAAGGGTTCACTGGTCACCTCTGGCTTCCCTGTCCATTATAAAGCAGTCTCTAGTGTCTCAGAGTGAGCTACATAAGCTGGCAGAAGGTGTATGACTGCTTTCTGTGGTATTCCTTCAAGGAAATTTGGACATCTTTTGTCAGTCACAGACTTGGACTAAACATTCACAGTATTTGAGCCAGCGTGACCCCTTCCTGCAGATCTGTAATTTATGAACTTTGAGCATTTGGCATTGCTGAGAGTGTGTCTGGCACCGTATGCTTGTGCATAGTTGGCCTGGGAGGAGACAGGAGAGGAGAGAGGAAAAGAGAAAGAAGCTATTCACATTTTCAGATTTGAGCTGCAGAGACACTAAGCAAATTCTGAAGTACCTGGTGGTGCTAGTTCTTGTGGCCTGCAGCATTTCAGTGCGAAACAAATCTTCTTGAAATTCCTGGGAGTAAGTAATAGTCAGTGAAACCTGCTTCCCTCTTTGTAAAAACAATTCCACAATACTCTGTCCAGTCATAAAGAGAAACAAATCTGACTTCCTGTAATTTTCACCATCTTTTGCTCTACCAGAACAGTGTGTAGGTGGCTTCTGGCTTTCCTTCTAAAACATGTGCCAGCTATATCCCTGGTACAGGCTCAGGAACCTGATGATGCTGCTCGCAGCTCAGAGATCCTGTCGCCCCAGTCCCACCTGCCCTGCACAGGGACTGGTCCCTCTGCTGAATTCCAGCCTTTAGCATGGGGCTTGTATTCAAACCTGAACCGTGATTACTGTGCAAATTCATCATGGATTTGACCAGGAGACTCCTAGTGGCTGTTGCTGTAATTTGCAAACTGGAGATGGGTTTGTGTTACCGACCTGTGTTTGCAGCTCAAATGGCAACATTAAAATATAATTTTCTGTTTGTGTTTAGACCTAGATATCATAATACATCCCAACAACTAAAAAATGATGAAATTATCTTCAATTATAGTTGCCTGCAGCTAATTTCCTTCGTAGGTTAAATAGAAGCTTGAAAAGGAGCCTGCAGATGGGAGTCCTGTGCATTTGTACATTTTATAGAGCAGAAATGCTGATGACAGTAGAAATTTGAGCCCTTGAGTGCTACTCCGTATTTCATAGCCAATCAAAACTAAATTAAGAAACAAAGATTATTAAAAAGTATTCTGCACATGTAATTCTGCCGTAATATTATGAGGTGGACATTAAGTTTTTTTCCCTTTGAGACGTTCAGCATCATTAATATAGCATTCCTTTAATTACAAGTAGGCTCATATTCCTTAAAAAGGGGGAAATACTATGTAGCATAGATAGTGATACCAATATTATGTTTACTGAAATAATTAAATG